AACAATATTGTAACCAACGGTACTCCGTGTATATCGACCACTTAGAAACACACACAAACACTAGAATTGTTTTTTTTTTTATTATATATATAATTGACTTTCAGGTTGTTTTGGGAAATGGAATGTTGATTAAGAAAATAGCTTCAATTTGAAAAGCAACTGTGGAACTGGATTTTACTCATTAATATAACTGTAATAACAGTAATTTAGATGGAAATCTGCTAATCAAAAAACTTCGCTAAATGCTGTAATAGGGTTAATAGTGAGGAAAAAGCCTACTAAATTTACATTTATTAAGTGCACAATTTTATTAACTTTAATACTTATATTTAAATTAAATGTTCCTCTTAGTCTTAACTTTAACTAGCTTCAGTTCAACTTGGCGTTGGACAATGTTTTTGTTGGTAGATTAACTGTAAAAATTAATTTTACATATAATTATAGAAATATATTTTATATATAGACCTAATTATAAGCTACTTGTAAAATAAAAATCCAAATCTACTGAATTCGTCAAAGAGTGAGACTGATGTACAGAACTGGTGATGTACCTCACGAGAAATTTTCAAAAGGTCTTCTAAAACGAGGAATTAACATTTATATTAATTTTATCTAAATTATATTTAATTATAGTTTTTACATATATATATATTGCTTGGAAGGTGTTTTAAATATAATAATATCTATGATATGATGTTATGTTACGTATGTGTGTGAAAAATTTACTAATTTGAATACGTTATTTATTTCTAAAAATGCTTAATAATTGGCAGCCTTACTTTATTATATATATAAAAACAATGATCTTATATGTGGAGATTATAGCAAAATTATTTCTCAATCTATGCTGTAAAAATTTAGTTAAACACCTAACAACAGATTACACAGGCAGTCAAGAATCTTTTAAAGTCCTGCTTGTTTTCGTGTTTGATAAATAGATACTTTTCCCACATCACAAAGACGAGTATTGTCATTACATCACAAAGAAACGGAAAATAACAACGTACAACCATGTTCTGATGCACTGGATTTTATTTTCTTCATTTTTCCAAAGCAACAAACTTTCAAAAGAATCAAACAATACCTTATATATTTCAAATAATTGGTACTTTTGTTTTTTAAATTTGACTAGAATATATTAAGCATATTTTCCTAGGATTAAACAAATTACAACTAACATACTCTAGAAATATTTTTATTGACATCAACCTATCATATTTTGCTGTCATCAGGCTGATCTGTGAAATGCTGACATCATTCAAGTTGTTATTTCCAGAGTTATTCATGATTAAAGTTTGATCCAAGAAAAAGATAATTAATACCTTCATCTAATTAACAAATTCCATAAAAACAAATTGAAAGATAAATCACACAGAAAATGGTTTCATTTGATTGTCCAGCTGAAGTAAATTATTTGACTGAACAGTGTTCAAAAGAAATGTAACATTAAAAAAAAACAACAACCCTAATACATGCAAGTTTTTACTTTAATCTGGCCTTACCATTTTCTCAATTGAAATAACATAATTTCTAATAATTTCAAACAGTCATTACTAACCTGATTTAAAAAATGAACTTGTGGAACATTTAAAATTTCTGAGAACATCCACAAATTATTTTTTTATATATGAATTGTGATTCCACCCTGGATCTGTAAATAATGATTAAAGAAAGTAATGATCTTGGAATACTTCCTAATGTAACACAAAATTTGAAATTACTACTCCTTCAAAATTAAGAAAAAAAAAGATTATACTGTAAAATTATATCCATTTATTAAAATAGAAGTTTCCCTGAGGTTAAAATATAGTTTTACTGTAAATATAGTAACAGTAAAAGTTTTCTTCAATACACGTAGATTTTGGTGAATTTAAAGTTAGTTAGGATCATCTGAATAACATACAAATTATTGTATATTTGTCTTCCAATGTTTTAGAATTAATAGTTTGTACATTCACTTTTTTAAACAAATATACAGGTAGGTTTTTCCAATGTACATTTGGTATATTGAATTTAGAAGCATAACTTATGTTGTTTGCTATATGTTCACAGAATAAATAATACAGATACAGAAATTAATGTATACAGAAAAATATAAGATTCGTTATTTTTTCCAGTGGAGTATAAAAACGTTTTAATACTAATAATAAACACCGTTGTAACACCAAATTTTTTTTCAACTGAATACTCATCATTTTGCTTTACTCTTTCTTCAAGAGCATTGCATTAAAACACAAAACGTAACTGAAAGTACTCAGTTGGCATAACGCTAACATAAATCATGACTAAATAAGTTAACTAGCTAATTGAAAGTCAGGTTTAAAAACCATAAAAGATGCTAATAGTCATATAGAAGTACTAATGTTTGTACATTCACTTAAATCTATTTAAATGCACGGTATTAATTATATATCACCACATGTGCTGACAGATTAACAATTTTCCTACTACAGAGGTTATTTTACTGGATGTAATAACTGAAAGTTTACTTAATGAATTTTTACAAGAAAAGCACATTTATTTGTCAGTTATACTATTCATGTTTAACTTTGTAGCCTTAAATATCAGTATAAAAACACTGAAAATAATTTGTAGTGACACTTTTCTATCTCAATGCTTATTTAAAGTAACTTATCAGGACTTAAACAGTAAAAGTTAAGTTTCATAAGAGCCATAATGCAATCTAGCATTGCAATGTATTGACCATGGAAATCAAAGCTGTCAAATCACATGCACAAAACGTTTGTCAGTTTTTATTGCTACTTGTAGTTTCAACTTTAACTTTATTATAATAGAATCAACAACATTACAACCACCAAACTGTTCAGTAAAATAGTATAAGTATAACAATGAATCTTACTAATGAATTAGTGGGGTTATATGTATTCCTTAGAAGTATTTTATCATGTATTTGTAATAATAAATTGGCAAACAATGAATCTTACTAATGAATTAGTGGGGTTATATGTATTCCTTAGAAGTATTTTATCATGTATTTGTAATAATAAATTGGCAAACAATGAATCTTACTAATGAATTAGTGGGGTTATATGTATTCCTTAGAAGTATTTTATCATGTATTTGTAATAATAAATTGGCAAACAATGATTTATAAGGATAATGAAGTAAGTAATATATTTTTGGGTGAACAGAACATTGATCTGTCTCCTTCATTATGTTTATAAATCAATTTTTATAATACGCTTCCATGCCCAAGTATCATGTATTTGTAGAGCCATTTTGTTTAATCCAAGTTCTTTGAAGAAAGTAATGTTTAGTGGTATTACATATTTTTTATAGTCATATGCTAAAAATATATGTAAAATCTTCAGTCAGATATTTCATGTATGTTCAGTTAATTGGCTTCTTTAAAATTACAAACAAGTTAGCAATACACTTACCTTTTAATTAATATTAAATAACCAGTGGAATATGCATAAAAATTAAATAGGAAGTCATTATTAAACAAGGTGTGTCTACTTTATTCTTATACAGAATTTTCAAATCAATCACTTTTTTAACTATAGAATTTAATTAATTGCTGTAAGTGTAAACTGTACCAAACTGCTTCAGGATCGTATGTGCTTTTTTTCTCTCTTTTATTAAACATTGAGCTGTACTTTGCCCACTACATGGATCGAATCCCAAATTTTAGCATTACAAATACTCAAATGTAATCTAGTTCATGCCACATTGGTTTTGTTGTTCATGACACTGGATAACATAAATAGCATCCCAACCACTACTGTATCTGTTGTATCCAAGCCAGCCTGATGAATCCTGGTACTGGGCAACAGTCCTCATCAGCACTGGCTAGAGCAAACTGACCTACTGTTATACATTCTTCTTTACTTTCCTTCACAAATTCTTAGAATTACTACTGAGCCACAAGACACACTACAGGTGCTGACCATCTCTAAATGACACGATAATTAAATAATTACTACCGA